ATCATTTCTGTACAGATGAAGAATGTTTCATAGCTGAGTGAATTCAAATGAAATAATTGATGAATTGAACAGAAAGATGTAGTGTTTGCAACAGTAAATGCAATGACTTCTGATGGTGGGTCTTCACTTCTGAGTACAGTAGGAACATCTGTTGCGAGTTAGTGGTGATTGTAGGTTTTAGAGAGAGACCGCTGTTTGCTTGGTGAGGGGAGAACCAAGGGGGTTCATTGGAAAATCGATGTTCAAAAGGTTCTAAGAATTTCTCAGCCTGCTTTTTAGTGTGTCATGATCTTTAAAGCCTGTCATTCTATTGTTAGTGGTATACAATCAAAATACTAGCAACCAGTTAGTTTTTCTATTCAGCCTTCGGTTTCATCAATAACAAATAACATTTTGGAAATTTAATTTTTCAAATTTAGGTGATTTATGAATTTATTTTTAGTCTTGTATGCCTGCAAGCAAGGTTACATTTATATTGTTAGTCCTTGTTATGATACTTCTTACTTTTTATTTGCTCTTCCTAGCATTCTGTGCACTCGGTATACAGTTTTTTTCAGTCTGTTATTATTTGGCAATCCCATTCATCCAGCAATGTTGGAATGTAATTGAGTCTTTCAGACAGTCCAGTACTTGGAAAAATTGTCCCCCCAGTGTGCATTTCCCTACTGTTGACTTCAGCTATACAAATGTATTTAATTGACTTGAATTACCTGCACCATGCATGGCTTTGTGGTGTTTGACACCTTCACTAGGAGCATCTTCTGAAAGTGTTAGACACCTTCAGAAAAGCCTCTTAATGACGATGCATAAGGGTTAGGCTGCATTCAGACTGAGTTTTGAAGGTGTGAAATAATGCAGACCTTTTAATTTATTTCTGTGGGGGTTTGCATTCACCGCAGCTGACCCTAGCACTGCAGGAGACTCCAGCAAAATGATGCAGCCTCATACAGCAAAAAGGATCTAGTTCAACTTCTTCTGCACCAGACGGTGACATCATCTGGCAATGCACTGCATTGACCAATCATGCAATCATGTAAACTGTTGGAATGTGGACATCTTATCACAAATGTCAGTCTCAAATTTGGGCCACAGTTGAAAATGCAGCATAATGACACACCAGGCGTTCTTGTTAGCCACTGGATTTTGAGCATTCTTTTTCTGTTTATTCATGCCAAAACACTGGTGCTAATATACAATATGTTGGCAAAATGGCCCACTCATGTTGTATCATAAACACCATTAATTTTGCAATAGTTTATTAAACACCAGCTCAGAGCTGTAATTGTTTGTCTCTACGGATTCTCCCTAAAACACGCAATGCACACACAGACGGGGGTTTCTCTAGGTCTCAAGCCCTGTTTAGTTCTTAAATATTGTAATATCTAAAGAATTTGAAAGCAATGTAAATGTGCAAAAACAGTGAAAGCTCTATAGATATAATACATTCAAACTGGAAATCCCAAAACTAAAATCAATGACCTTTTTAATTTCTAACACTTTTTATTTATTTGATGTGTTTATTAGCTTTTAGGATTTGGACCAGTTGGGGGGGAAAAATCCTAATCAGGCAACAGTTATAATGGATACAGTTAGGCCAAATTATTTAGACATATTTATGCTTTTGAAGTCAAATTGGAGTTTTGGCTCCGACACCTAAGGGTAGTCCTGTAATTAGAATGGTGAGTAATAATCTTCCCAGATATTGGTTTTAATCCTTGCTGGCTGTCAGACTCTGAAAGAAAGACATTACATAAGAAGAAAAAACATTAGCTCGTCCAGCAAGGTACCTGGAGGCCACATGCAATTAAGCATTGATATACTAAAGGAGTGGAACTGAATTGTCCTGTAACAAACTGAAAGCGGTGGCAGTAGCTTTTAGCAGTTGGCTGATTGTGATTGATTCATCACTTTATAATGAAAGCCTTCCAGTTACAGAATGAGATGTCTTTGAGAAGAGCTTTATGCAGTGCTTAACCAAGGGTGCTGTTTTTGTTTTCCTAAACAAAGAGGCATGCTACTTAAGGAATTAAGCGCACGAGTACTTTTGGCTTCCATTCTGTTGTTAACATTTTTAGATCATTTATGAACCTATATTACCCATAGGTTTGTTGGCAGTGGATCCTCAAGCTGGGACAAATTACTGCTTTCTTCAGCTATTAAGGATCTGCTGGTGAGCATTTAGAAACAGATTAGACCAACAGAGTCCCCGCCTGCACTCCTCCTCCAATTGGCAGTCCATCCTCTGGAACGCAGGGCTCAGAGCTCCATGTGAGGTCACTTTGGACTTTCTCCCCCAGCCTTTACCCGCTGCTCTCCTCCACATCCACCTCTCTACCCTTTCACCCCCTTATCAGGGTGATGGAGCTCCAAAAAGGAGGGGACTGGGGTCTTAGGGTCAAAGTCTTTTCCTCTTTGGATCTTGGGGCTTGCTAGGAGAGGCTTGGCGAGAAAATGGTTGCATTAGAGCAGGGGTTGGGGGTCAAGATTTTAATTTTGTTAAAGAACAGCTGGTTTGAGTTATGCCTCACGTCACTGTTCCCTCCCTCTTCCTACAAATCCAGGGACATGAAAAATTTGTTCAGAGGGGAACCAGTAAAATAAAGGTTTACAATCCAAAGCCTTTACCCTTACCCTGCTTTAGCATTAGAAAGGAATGCAATAATGTCAACATTTGGCCTCAGTTAAATTGACTTAAACAAGGAAATCCTCATTTGAGATGTATTAACAGTCTGGTGAAACTTAATTAAAAAGCTCCAAAAGTTAAGATGTTTTTTTTTCATACTTTGAGACCAGAGGAATTCTCTGCCTTAAGTTTCAGTTTCCATCATTAATTGTTTCTCGCAGAACTTTAAACAGGTGAGACTAACCTTTTTGGCAGTTACACCCAATTTAAGACTTGTAACTTTGCAAAGACATTTTCAAAACAATTTCCTACATGTCACATGTTTCCCTTTATTGATTCTAGATTAGCACTGACTGAAACGAATTGAAATTGATGGTCACCTTCATTTCAAAGCCTTTTGGTCTTAAGACTATTGCTCAACCTCCTGCTGGCTTAATTGCTAGCAACCCCATGTTTTAGCAAAAAGAAGCTTGATAGTCTCTTTCTGCTCTGACCCATGTGAAGTGTGTTCATCAGAATGCCAGTGCAGGTCTCTCTCATATTTTGAGCTTGCTGAGGGGGATGGTGAGAGGGGAGGAAGCAAGAGGCACTAGAGCACTCCTATAAATGGAAAACTAATAACAGATTTTTAGTCTGCTTTCTCCTTTGCCGGCTGGTTGGCTGGCCCTGGGGCTGTGTTGGTGTGTGGCGCAGCAGCAATCAGAGGTCATAATTTCATTGGCGGTTAGCATCAGGTTCAATTTTTCTAGTAGGTTACATTTACCAGAAAGTCTGGATTGTGTTACTGTGTACCAGCAGAATCAGTGCAGAGCTGCAGAATCCTTCTACCTTTCCAAGAGGAGCCAGGCATCCCCAAAGGGGAAGGGGAGTGCACACACATATTTAGAGATACACACAGATACATACACACATATGCAGTGTCTGTTAGTGCCAAGGTTCCTTATACATTCAGTTAGCCTATATACACCCTTCAACTCTATATATAAATGCATATACAGTATGTATGTACAGTCATGGCAAAGAAAATAGTGGCACCCCTGCATTTCTGCCAGATAATGTGCCACTTCTTCCAGAAAACTGTTGCAATCACAAGTTCTTTGGTATTCTTACATTTATTTCTTTTGTTTGCATTGGAACAAGATAAAGACAAATCTGATACATTCACACAGACCTCCAAAAATGGACTGGTCAGAATTATCAACTTAATATTTGGTAGCAGACCCTTTGGACAAAATAACTGAAAGCAATCACTTCTTGCAACCATCAGTGAGTTTCTTACAGCTCTCTAGTGAAATTTTGGACCACTCTTCTTTTGCCACCTGCTCCAGGTCTCTCAGATTTGAAGGGTTCCTTCTCCCAACTGCTGTTTTCAGATCTCTGCACGGGTGCTCTATGAGATTTAGGTCTGGACTTATTGCTGGTCATTTCAGAACTCTCCAGCACATTGGCTGACACCATTTCTGGCTGTTTGGAAGTTGATCGGCGTTCTTTATCCACCACTCAGACAATCCTCCATTGCAATATGCCATCTATTTTTCTCTTTCGTCCACATCCATGGAGATCAGCTACAGCGCCATGGGCTGTGAACACAGGAACAGCCAGATCTCTGGAGATGGACGTGTAGCCTTGAGATTGTCCAGGCTTTTCCACTATTCTCGAATCCTTAGACAATTCTTTGCTCTTATTTCTTTTCTCCATGCTCTGTGTCGTCCACACGACACAAAGTAGGAGTCAACTTTTCTCAAATGTAACTGGTTGCAAGTGTGATTTCTATATTGCCAGCACCTGTTGATTGCTGCAGGTGAGTTTCATTACAAGTTCTGTGTGGAATGTATCAGATGTGGCTTTTATTTGTTCTTCCAGTGCAAATAAAAGAAAGAAATGCAAGAAACCAAAGAATTTGTGATTGCAAAGATTTTCTAGGAGAAGTGGTGCGTTATCTGACAGAAACACAGGGATGCTAATATTCTTGATCATGACTGTATTCTGAAACACAGCTTTTCAAATGCCATCCTGGGGAGCGTTTAGAGGTGCTGGATTGGGAATTGATTGGTTATGTCTGTGGGTGTGCATATCTATTGACTCTTGTTAGTGGTCCATTCAGACTGAGGAGGATGATAGTTTTTGTTTGGACAGAACTGGTGAATGTTTAGGGTAGAAAAATGTGGAGAAGTTATTGCACAAGAAAAAGTGAAGGTTAAGGGGCTTAAAACTGAAATGTCCAGTCAAAGCACAAATTTATATATACATTTTTTTTTTCTGGTGAAGGTTGACCTGGAATATGTGTAGTCTGTCTTTTCACAAGAAAAAGACAACAATGAAAACATATAGCATGTGATTTCTACATTATTCTAAATGTATGTTTTACTTATTCCAGGAATGTGACCAGGTACATATTGACGATGTGTCCTCCGATGACAACGGCCAGGATCTAAGGTAAATTGCTCAATTCCTATCTTTTTTTTGTTCATGGTTCAGATTCATGTTTGTAGGTGACACGTATCCAGCTTCAGTCTGAACACCATAGCCCTCTTAAACTACCATTCATAGATTAAACTGAAATGTGAGCTGTCGTATGTGTACAAAAATAACATCATTTGTGCACAATTCCCTCAAAAACTACTTGGTTATGGTATGTTCCTTTTAATTTGGCTGGTTTCTGTGTAAATGTTCAACAAAGGTAAAGCTATCCTAGACTCTCCACAGACCCCTGTCGCTGTTGTTGCTTCCCTTTGTTTATTTTAACCGGTTTGTGAGAGACTGACACTGAATGATGATGACGGGCAATATGCACATGCACAGAGGAGTGAGGCACTGAAAAAATCCACATGAATTATGATCTGACCATTCTGACAGTGGTTGCATGGTCAGAGATCGGATGTGAATTAGATCTAGGACTACATATGCAAGAGGCCCAGATCTGATCTGAAAAAACTGATTTGGTTTGTCCACACATCCATGAAAAAAATCAGATGAGTCACTTGCAGAGGAAAGAAAATTGCATTTGAGTCACTTCAGCATAGTCTGAATGTAGCATTAGTGTCTTGGTTCATTAGTCAAGCTAAAATGTTAACCTGTCATCAGTGGTGAAGTAGCTTGTGCTAACAGATTCTTTATTTGTCTTAACCTCAGTACGTATAACTTCAGCGCTGATGGTTTCCACGCAGCAGCAACCAGTGCCAACCTATGTCTGGCCACAGGCGTGCGGGGAGGCGTGGACTGGATGAGAAAACTGGCCTTCCGCTACAGACGAGTAAAAGAAATCTACACCACCTACAAAAATAATGTTGGAGGTAATCCCCAACAAGCAGCAGATTTGTTGAGTAGAAATGAGTCTGCAGATGTGCATGCCCTTATTGTGTGGGCGTTTGTGTGTGTTCAAGTGTGCGTTCTAAAAGCACACATGCAACACCACTTGGTCTGGGTAAATTTTGAAAATTTTAGTGGCATTCAGAGAGCTGCTCCAACCCAAACAATGTTACCATACGTTTTAGGTCTGCTGGGCCCAGCCAAAAGGGAAGCCTGGTTGCAATTGCGAGCAGAAATTGAAGCTTTGACAGACTCCTGGTTAACGCTGGCACTGAAAGCGCTAACATTAATCCACTCAAGGTAAGACTTCAGTGAGGAAAATTGTACTTAGTCCAATACTGTACATATATAAACTTGTATGTAAATAGGTCAACTCCATACTCCCAAAGCTCTTAATTTCTCTTTCTGACAGGTTTTGCCTTTTAATTTTGAATGATCAGTGTGCTAAAAGATTTTACATGAAAAGGGAGTTGAGAGAGAATTCTTCATTGCTTCAACATAAGCAATTGATACATTACTGTTTTTATTTTCAGCACACTGTTTTCCATGGTCCTCCCTCATAGTGATTTAAAATAGTATCCCCTTTTTTCTCCTGCTCTGTCTACTGTAGGTCAAACTGTGTGAATATCCTGGTGACCACCACGCAGCTCATCCCTGCCCTGGCTAAGGTGTTGCTCTACGGTCTGGGAATTGCCTTTCCTATTGAGAATATTTATAGTGCGACCAAAATAGGTAAATATTGTTAAGTATGTGATTTGAATCTTTTTCATGTATTTTGTAATGTTTATCCTCTATAACAAATCTATCACTTTGTGACATGAGTGCTTCTTATTTTAGCAGTGTGAGTGTAAACAGTTAAGACATGCATATGCTACCTCAGTGACAGCACTGAGGCATAGGCTGTGTGGGAGGGTTAATGTTCTTCTATGAAGGAATCAGCCTAATCAGCCTGGGATTATTTTTCTGGAGCTGGGCCCCACCGGGCCTCTCCTGCTCAGTCTCTGCATATGAAACCACTTCTGCACATTTATGTCATTCCACAGCAACGGGGCCCCCTTCTCTTCCCATCTCCCTCCTTTTCCTCCTTCTCCTTCTTTACTGTTTCAAATGTAAAATAAACATAAAGCTTCACTCCTGCGCCATTTTCAGGCCCATCAGCAGAGATTTGGAGCAGAGTGTAGCTCAGGGTTCCTTGGAGCATTAAGCACACTGGTCTTCCTAGCCAGACCCTGTAACATGCAAGACTGATTTAGATTATTTAAGTCCATTTGTCCCAGGTTTGAGGAGGAGAAAGAGTGAGCTAATGCTTTGCAGATTGTCTTTATCTGTAGGCTGATTTTATCACATCTCATTCCTTAACTCAAAGTGTTTTACACTCTGCCCAGTTTTGTACATGTGGTGTTTTTAAGGAGGCTGTTGTCACCCTGTGCCTCTGAATCATCTTGATGGTGTGAGTCTCTGCATGTGTGTATATGCCTGTGTATTTGTTTGTATGCATTCAATGTGCCTCTAACATTCTGTTGTCAACTCCTCTACAGGGAAGGAGAGCTGCTTTGAGAGAGTAATTCAAAGGTTTGGGAGGAAAGTTGTTTACATTGTTGTTGGAGATGGTGTGGAAGAGGAACAAGGCTCAAAAAAGGTAAGAGGTCATGGAATAATAGATACCATATTCTGTATACACAGTGTATCTTGTATCTATTCATCCATCCATCCTTTTTGTGCCACTTATCTAGAGCTTGGTTGCAATGGCAGCACATTCAGCAGGGTAGTCTAGATGTCTCTCTCCCCAGTAAGGTTTTCCAACTCCCTCTGGGGGACCTTGAAGTGTGATCAAGTTAGATGAGTTGTATATTCTCTCCAGCATATCCTGAGTCTAACCTGCGGCCTAGTTGGGCATGCATGGAAAGCTTCCAATGTAAGGCTCACAGTGGCACTACTCCAAGCTCCATCCGGATATTCAGCTGTGCTTCGTGTCTGGCTGAACCCAGCTACCCTATGGAGGAAGCTTATGTCAGGCACTTATATTTGCAAATTCATTCAGTAACTGCCTGAAGCTCATGACCATAGAGTGGTGGAGTGTAGATTGACTGTTAAATTTGAAGCTTTGCCAACTGGCTTCATCACATTGGTCCAGTACAACACCCACATTACTGCTGATTCTGCTCCAATCCATTCAGTCTCATACTCCATTTTACCCTCAATCATAAATAAGACCCCAAAATACTTAAACTCCTTTGCTTTAGACAGCAACTCACCTCCATCCTGAATGGAACAATCTGCTGTTTTTAGCAGAGATCCATGGTCTCAGGTTTCCTGACTCTCATCCTACGCCACTTCACTGAAAACCACCCCAGTCCATGATGATGCTCATGGTTTGACGAAGCCAACAAGACCACATCACCTGAAAATAAGAAGAGAAGCAATTCTAAGGTCCCCAGACTGGACGCGCTCTTCCCTAGGATAAATAGTGGATCCTATCCGTGACAAGGCGGACAGCTCTGGCGAACCCCAACACTTACTGTATACATGTTTGCCTTCTGGCTGATAATATGTACACAGCTCTCACTCTAGTCATATAAGGATCAGATATCTTTGTTTCAATAAAAAAAAAAAAAAGTAACACATTAACAAAACAGTACCGAACATGGGAGACAAGACAACAGTTGCATGACATTACAAAAGGATATAGAGTGTTTAACAAGATCAGGACAAGGATCAGATATCTCATAACAATTGCCCTGACACCCACCACAAGGCCCCCTAAATGACCAAGTGATAGGCCTTATCCAAGTCCAGAAAATAAATGTAGACTGGATGGGCAAATTCTCATGGCCCCTCTAATAGCCCTTTTAAGGGTAAATCCAAGGTTGAATCCAAGGTTTGACAGTCTGTAGGACTCTACTTTCTAGCACGCTAGCATAGGTTTTCCCCAGGATATGTCAATTTGAGGTATTGTGATATGTCAATTTGAGGACCACCACCACAGGTCTGCTGGTGCACAGGCACTGTCCTCATCCTCCATGCACCACTGAAGAGATATGTTGGCCAAAACAGCCCAACAACATTCAGTGCCTTCAGTATCTCAAGTTGCATCTCATTGTTACCCAGTGTCTTGCTACTGAGGAGCTTTATAACTGCCTCAGAGACTGCTGCCAGAGATATGAGTTAGGATACCCACAAGTCATCAGACTGCATCTTCCTTCGAGGACAAAAGGAATTTCTCCCAAGGGAGACAATAATGTGGACTTGACATCTTAGTTACGTTCAGGAGCTTCTCCAAGTGTTCCTTTTACCGCCCAATGACATCCGCGGTCCGGGTCAAATGTTCTCCTTTTCCGCTGAGCACAGCCTGCACCATTCCCTGCTTTCCATACTTTTTCAGTATAAGGAATAATTTTGAAGGTGGTAGTTTAAGACCACAATGTTCTCAGCTCACCTTCACTACACATTTGTATTTGCCAGCGCTGTCCGGCATCTGATCCATCTCACCATCAGGTGGTGATTAGCTGACAGCTCAGACCTGCTTCTCTCTTCAACCAAGTGTCCAAGACATATAGCTGCTGATCTGATGAGACTCTTGACATTTTAAGCCTAAGCTGTTCTTGTACCAAGTACACTTAAATGGCTTTTCCATTATAGGAACCTACCGAAATGTGTTGCACCGAGTAATGCTCCTCACAGGTTCTGTTTGTTACGGTGTACCCACTTTGGAGGTGCCTTCTGGGAGCTACATTTCAGCACCCCTCAGGAGGTAGTACTAAAATCAAGTACCAGGATTACAAGGCGGAAGGGGGTATGTGTGCACAAAGCAATTGCCAGTGATTATTTAAATGTCCATATCTTCACACCTCAAGCATCAGCATTACAAGCACTGTGTGTAAACACACAGCTTGACTGAGTGTGTGAGAGGGGAGCAGCCCCTCCCTCCTCTAAACAGAGACTGACAGAGAGAAAATACTGTGGAAAAATGGCCCTCGTCAACCCTGGAGGCTATGCTTGGTGATGGTTAAGGAAAGTACAGGGTATACCGCTTGTTAGGTTCCAATAGTGGAAATGCAGCAATATGAATCATGCAATGTTCAAACATGGTGTTTGTTATGGCCAATTCAGGACTAACACAGAGGTCCAGTAAAAAAAAGAACCTTTTGGGTCTGGATCAGGCGGGACATCCCTCCCAGTCAACCCCTCCACATCTTCCATCATTGCCCACATAACTGTTGAAGTTCAACAGAACGGCAGAGTCCTAAGTGGTACCCATTCCAGGACCCCACCCAGAGTCTTCAAGAGAGCTGGATACTATGAACTGCTGTTAAATGCATATGTACAGAAAACAGTCGGAGCCTTTCTCCCAGCAACTTAGTCACATGGGGATGACACTCTACAACACACAGTGGTGCTCAGCCAGGAGCTTGTCAGTATCCCAAGAGACACCTGACATCTCACCCTGTGTAACTCTGGAAAAGAAAAAAGTCAACCCCTTCTGTAGAAGCTTGGTTCCAGATCCAGTGTTGTGCTGTATCTAGCTGCATGTATATATCTAGCACAAAATCAAACTCCGTCCCCACCAGAGAGGTGATGTTTCATATCCCTACAACCAGTATACAGTGCCCAGGATCTGAGCATCTAGTTACCTGCTTTTGCCTGCTGCCCAACTTGCATTGCATCAAATTTCTTATTCCGCTGGTGGTGTGCCGACAGGGTGGGTTCCATGTAGCTTTTTGTTGCTGTGCCCAATGGGGCTGCAGGATCAATCATTTTGTGAGTGTGGTTTAGATCCCTGTGTGATTTCAGTCTTATGTGACAACGATTCTGCTGTGTTTGCTTTAGCAGGGAGATACTTTGCATCAAACCAAGTGGTTTTTGCTAAGCTGCGTTAACTAATAGCAAGAATGCGTTATATCACGTGTTGAGTTGTAGACAGGAATAGAAGACTGATTCAAAAACTAATCCAATGTGTTTGACATAGTGAAAGATAATGTGTCCTCCTGCAACTATTTTTTACGTTGCACTGCCTGCCCAGTGTACACCTAGTGCCCAATAGCAGTTGAGGCAGAAATAAATCACATTGTGGTTCTTAAGTGTGGTCATTGGTTAACACAGCTTAGCGAGTAAAAGGGAGCAATTATTTTGATGCAGTGAATCTCACTAGTAATGCAAACATGGCAGAATCATTGTTGCATGAGACTGAGATCGCATAGGGTTCTAAATCACGCTCACAAAACGATTTATCGTGCAGCCCTAGTGCCCAGCATGTATCATGAAAACATTTAGCAGAAGTAGATCCTTGGTTTTAGTTTTCCTAAGGTTGAGAGTTCATTATGAATGCTTACAGAGCACAAAACATACCTGCCATTCCTTTTCAAAGAAAGTAATCACCACTCCAGCTCTTCTCCTCAACAATCTTATTATACTTTAATTCATTTATCCTTTTGTACAGCATCCAAGTACAAGCAAGAAAGTCTGTAAAGTGTAATCAGCGCTCTTTGTCTGCCATCTCAGGTTTACAGAGCAGCTGAGAGGAGAGATGGCATAATTATATATTCCTGCTCTGTGCCTTGAGGAGCATGAATGCTATACTGTATGTGTAATGCTAGACAAGCCCTCTCAGGCATGTTGAAGGCACACTGTAAACAGAGCATGCATAAAAGACTCAAATCATTGTTGATGAAATTAGAATATTTTAAGCACTGACAAACCTGTTAGCATGAGACTCACTGAGAAAGGCTCAAAGCTTATATCTCCTGTACTTTTTCAGGAATCATGACACTGTCTGTTCAGATGAATTTGACATCTGACTTTTCTGTTACCTGTTGGCTCTTGCCAATTTGTGTATTCAGCATTAATGCCAAGTTTGGGTGTAAACCAAATGCTGCATGCAAGCCAAACACAGCAAACATATTCATTAGTAAATTAATCAGTGGCTCAGGGGAATATTTCACTGAAAGTTTCAGCAAGCCACAATGTGAAGACATGGCATTTCCCTTTGATAAGCCTTCAGATCCTTTTTTCACATATTTCATGCTAAACAATGAGAAGAAGTGAGGACAGATGAAGAGTTATTGGGCAGTGATTAGGAAGAAGTGGCAAACTTCGCGCTGGATAAGTGTGTAAAGTGATAGCTCTGTATTATGAAATGCAAACACACACTGGGAATATGGTCTTGAGGGATGATTGCAGAAAAAGATGCAAATATTTTTACTCAGTCTTGAGTTGTTGGAGTGTGACACTGATGGAAGGATAAGGCATTTTTTTTCTCGTCTGAGTGGTTTGTCCCACAACACGCCATGTGGTAAAAGGTTTCTGTGTCAACATCGGAGAGGACATGAAATAACACAACAATTTCACCCGTCAGGAGGCGCATATCAGATGTGACACTGTGTGGAACTACAAAAGCAAATGTCTAAAAGCTGTCTCAGCCCTCATTCCTTCACAAAAAAAAATCCACAATGCCTGAAACAATTCTGCCTTTAGTTATTACCATTGCCTGGGAGTGAAGGCAGAGATGAGATAACATCTCCAGCTTTTAAACTTGAAAGCAAAGACAATTTACAAAACAAAAAGCAAAGAGCTTTTTAAGGGTCAGTGCAGGCTCTCTTAAGCGGAACATATGCCTGGGAGAGGCCCTACCTTTGGTAAGGGTAGGGTAATGGCCTCCACACACTGAAGAGCTGAGGACCTTACCTGACAAACTCGTTTCATTTTCTGCAACTTGAGTTTCTCACCCATCCTCTTCTTGGAAGGAGTAGCTCATCTGTGCTGTTCTAAAGACACGCTGCCAGACAGGAGGTTAATTCAAAAGACTGTGTGGAGTTTGTTTCTGTTGAGGCTGAAAACAGCTATTGCCTGGCTATTGATATAACTGCGAGTTGATGCAGCAGAAAATTTAGAATTTCAGATGTGCTATTTACTGTAGCTACATAGATGTATAGACGAAGGAGCAAGACCAGCAGCTGTGGTGTGTTACTAATATGATAGCTTTTCCCAGTGAATGAACCAGACTTGCATTATTCATTGAGCAATTAGCTACAATGTAAAGCATAAAGTCTCGGATGGGCTGCAAGCAATGATTATTTTCATTATCAATTAATTTGTCCATTATTTTCTTGATACCAATTAGTTGTTAAAATGTAAGAAAGTAGTGAAATGCCCATCACAGTTCCCCAAGATCTCACCTATAAATTGATTGCTTTGTCCAAGCTACAGTCCAGAATCCAAAGAGATTACATTTGATTTACAATGAGATAAAACTGAGAAAATCCACATGTGAATCTGGAACCTCAGAATTTTTTAAATTTTTTATTGATAAATAATTGCCATGTTTTCTATCAGTGGACTAATCTATAAAATGATCAACTCTTTCAGGCTGAAGATGTGTACAATTTAGAATTTTTCTTTGTTATAAATAAAACTTGACATATTATGATGCTTTTATCCCTCCCTCAGCACAACATGCCCTTCTGGAGGATCTCCAGCCATTCAGATCTCATGGCCCTGCACCATGCTCTAGACCTGGAGTACTTGTAGTACTTGTACTGCACCACTCTCGTACATCCTGCACCACCCCAGCACACCCTGCAGCCTTTCACCTTCACCCTCCAACGGTGTCCCACACTCAGAAAAAAAGCCCCTGTGCTGCCTGGACTGTCTTCCACCACACAGAAAGAAAAGAAGAGGAGAATGGGGGAAAAACAAAGGCTGAGCACACGGTTAATGTGCTGACATACAGTCACACTTTGTCGTAACACAACTTTTTTTTTTTTTCTGAAAGCAAAAGAGGGAGGTGAATTTACAGCGCTGAAGCTGCTTTCCCCTGGTTACTGTGAACTGGCTGCTTTCTGAAGCAGTCAAAGTGTTTTACAGCCCTCTCTTTGTGCCGGGACTCTGTCAGGGTTCACACCTGTGAGGAGAGCAGAGCTACTGATGGTCTTGTCTGCCTCATGTCATCTCCCCACAGAACTCAGCTTAGTAAACTACAGGCCCACAACAACTGGTGGTGACATTTCTCCATCTGTCTAGTACTTGGTCTCACACACCCATGCCCTCCCCCTTGCTCTTCATCCCCTTTATTTCTGTCTTTTAGTCTCCTTTCTGTCATGAGACAGAGAGACAAAGTGACTGCTCCTCTGTTAACCGCCAGCCTGGGAGTCCTGTACTTCTTATTTATGAACAGAAACTTTGTGCGTGGCACCGTGCCACTTAGAAGGTACCTCGATGACAAAAGACTCGTGCCTTTTACAAAGTACTGTTGATTTCCACCACAGCAAGACCTTCATAGAAGAAACAAAGAAGAGGTTTTCTAATAATTTAAGAAAATTACAAAGCATTTTATTTACAATGCTGAGACAATCGTGTACAGAGGAAATCCTTTTTGCGTGTATAAGTTTGTAATCACTGGACTGTTCCTTGCTATATTCATTTAGGTACGTGCTCTTGAAAGATAATGCTTTTTCATTGAAGTAAAAAAGGCATCCTATCGCACATGAGCTTGTGCAACGCCTGTAAGTGTTGATGTGTTCAAGTTTTGTTCATTAAACAAATATGTAAATAATGGGATTTTGTGATAAATCATTTTGTCAAGACCAAATGCATGAATGTCAAGTGACAGTGAGCTTTCATTTGATTTTATGATGTTTCTCATCCGTACAGAAAACTTCAGTCCCATCATTATACAGCATAACAGGTCTACGCAACTCCTTTTTAGACTCACATTTCAAGGCAAAGAGGTACTTGTTTTTTAGTTTTTCAGCATGGAATCTTGCAACTTGCGCTTATGGCATTTCACCAGATTTAAGCCCTGACCTTGAATTTTGGAAGCAAACTTAATTCGGCTAATTCGGTTTTGGATATGGCATATGGCAGTGTCCTGCGTCTTGTGAGTCATTTTAACAGGTTTAGATAAATCTAAGATTTGAAGAGCAGGCTTGAATAGGTTTTATCTTTTATACATGCACTACAGCAACTCTTGTACAGTGAGCATAATTTTGTATGATGTATTGTTTTTATTTCCACTTTGAAAATACATTGTGTCCTTCTTTGACATAACTGAAATACATGAAGCTGTTTTCATAGTGTTTCTACAACTGTGGAAAGGGAAACCATAATTAACATTGAGAGAAAAGCCACTAACTTTGAAGGGTTTGTGAACATACAGGACATGTGCTATTGACTGTGAATTTCGTAAACAGAAACCAGCTTGTTGTGTTTCTAATTTTTCCCTCCTTTGCACATGATCACTGTTGGTCTTTACATTTCAAGTCAGATGACTTCTCGTGCCCTCCCTTCCCACCTATACTACTCAAAACAACTTCTCCCCCACACTCCGAGGTATCTACGTATTGCTGCTAGATCAAGGTAATGGTAGGTAGATAAACAGAGGAAATGTTTTGTAGATTCACACAACATGCTTTTTTATTATGTTGCAAACTGGAAATACTTCATACTACATGGGCCTCATTGTGAAATGCAAAAGATTGTCTGTGTACAGAAGTTTTTGACATTATTATTTGATTGTGTTTAAATTAATAAAACTTATTTGTGAACTGTTATGTGTTGCTCACAACTTTTCTTCATTTCAAACTGCATATTATATACTGATATTTTAAAAAGTGTCCGGTTAAAAGCGTTAAACGGTAACAGGTGATTTTCTATTTTTAGGTTTTCCACAAATCCTGCACAGCAGTGATTCTCAGTGGAGGCAGTAGCGCCCCTCAGAGAACGTCAGGGGGGCGGCGGATGTCTGGCAGCAATGAGGATGACGTTTCGGATCATAATGGTGAGCGCTAACGAAGCAGGTGTTACACAGCTTCATGCGTAACAGGCAGAAATAAGACAATCAAAGAAGAGACTGATGCTTCAAGCAGTGCCTCATTTATAGAGAATCTAACTTATCTCATCACAGATGTTGCCATATCTTATTCCCAGAACACACAACTTTGTGTTTTTCACCAGCGCTTATGGGCATTGGTTAGCTAGGATTATTTGGTGCAGAAGAACAAAGCAAATGAGTAATGTGGATTGTTTTCTGTGTGAGTTAATTGCGCCGCAGTTGTCTATTTATGCCTAGTGGCTCCAGAAGAGGGGATCAGACAAGTAGAGCCCTCATTCCTATTGCCTTATTTCCCTTTTTTAAGGTAAATATATTCTATGAGGTACAGTAAGATTGTGTACATGATGATAAAAGTTTTGTTGATGTTGAATGTGAGAGGAAGGTACTTTTTAAATATTTTGTTGTTTCAGTTTAGGCCGAGAGTATAAGCAAATGGTGTAAGTTAATGGAGATTTGCGATGCTGCCATAGTCTTTTGTTTGTATAATCTGTGTTTATTGTGCATTAGTATCACTGGAATAATATTACTATCACTGCTTTACACACTTATGTTAATTAAATCCACACAATATGGTCCATATAGTACTTTTTACATGAAAGCTACATCTTAACTCCTGACACGCTTTGATGACTTTTATGGAATAGTTTGTGTCACTTTTTAAAATGATGCAAAGGAGCTTTATATTTTTGTGGATGCATTTCTGTTTAGATATTTTTCATAACTCTCATGAGGCATCTTCTGTCTTCAACAATATCGAACATGTCATACATTCTCGAGTGTCTTCAAGCCAAGCCAGTGCTCACTCCAATATTAGTAATAGTTCTGACCTTACAGCATATGTCTGTAGAGCCTCCATGCATAATTTACATATATCAGACTTCTCCAAGCCATAGAGAACTAAGTTAGTTTCAATAGCACATGAAAAATATTTGACAATCCAACATGTAACACTATCCTGAACAGGAAAGAAAGCATTTGGCCCCCAAACCCACACTGGGGAATTAAGCATGCATGCAATTTTATTTAGAGCCGTTTAATATCCAAATCAATAATGCTCTCAGATGGAGTGGTAATGATGGCCAGGGTAAGGCATGTGCGTCTGCCAGGTTGTACAAAGCAATGCGAGTTGGACTTCTACCACTGGAATGCACCAGCACAATGACCCCTAATCTGCCTTCCCCACTTTCGAACAGCTGAAAGACAAAGTAATGTCTGAGGTACTGACTGGCTGTTTTTCTAGGAGAGGAGTACTGCTTTCTGCTGCACAGAATAGAGGTCTGTTCTCTTTGATATGTTTTCCTGATGCTCAGAGACCTGGCAGACAATGTCAGTCACAACCAGAGCAGACAATTTGTTTAAAAAAAAAAATAAAAAAAGTGTGTGGTGTTGCGGGGGGGTTGGGTTAAAACTAGACTATCCTATCTGGCTTGTCATTTACGTAGCACAGTCCTCTATTGGAAGTGCACAATGAACTTGTCGTGTTCACGTTTATTGAATGTGTTCCTGTACTTTAATCATTAATTTATTATTAATTTACAGTGTCCATGTGTTTCTCAAAAGGCTTGATCTTCACTCAACTCCCATCCACCCCCTTGAAGAAATAAAGAAGCCATTACCTCTGTTGGGTATTCCTCTCTGGGACGTCCCAGCAAATCACCCACTCTCTATAAAACTCTGTGCAATAATAAACAATGCCAGTGGTGATGTATGACCTTGCCCAGACAGTGATTTCATGCAGATTTCCATAGAAGGGGCGGTGAATCACAGTTGAACTAATATTGTATTACTTGCATATCAAATTCCTCCCCAAAAAACCTGATCTGCCACATCTCTTTTACGAGCAGGAAGCCTATTAATAGGCCTATGTTCTCCTCTTGGTGGCTAGTGTGTCTTAAGTTAGGGGAATTTGTCTCTGTAGCAAGCGGATGTCCACAGATCAAGACAATGAGAAAGAGGGAGGGGGAGAATTAGACACAAAGCTTTCATCCTTAGCAGAGTTGCATGGAGTTTCTGTACAATCTTAAAACCAGAACGGAATTTTATTAGGTTGTTTCCATCTCTTTATTCTTAATTTGGCTGATGCTGTGTCTTGAGGCAGGATAGACAAACCAACTGTCACTGATTGCAAATCCTCCTCCTATCATTTTAAGATGAAGAAAGGCTTCTTACTGCTCTCCAGATTTCAAGGCTCAGTTAGTCCTGGCAGACAGCAAGCGTGTCAAACCTTGCTGCCATGCTTTTGTGGGCAGTGGTGCTAAATTGGGCCCTTTGTTTACTGTTTGTTTATTTCTCCGTTACTGGGATTTGACAGGCACAGTGCGGCATGAACAGCTGGTAACCGGGAAGCTCCAGATGCCAGGGATCCTAGCCAGTAGTGTCAAATATGCCTGTGCCACACAGACAAGGCAATCGACAAGTGAGTCTAGACTGTGACAATGCTATTAATGTATATTAGTGGAGAGTTTGAATCTGACTGGTCTAAAAGATATTTGGTCATCGATGTTAATGGACTTGTAGAGTTGTGCTTTGTAGAAGTAGCTGTTGTGGCAAAACCCATACTGTTTCAATAAAGCACTGAAATGCAACTCTTCTGTGTGCTAGGCCTTTAGCTGCTGTCTTTATGTATTCTGATTGCAATATTTAACAATTTTTAGGGGAGTTGCAGCAGTAAAAATCCTGCTGTGCACCTCCTGCAATAAAACATTACATTGTCAACAGCAGTTGGTACTTCACTCTGAGCAGATTCAGCAACAAAACCAAACTTAAAACATAACCTCCAACCACAGCTCATAACCACTGCAGGGTTGTAGTGTTTGAATCATTATGAGAGCATGTGGCATTGCCAGAACCAAAGCTAGAATGATGTTCCCTGTCTGCAAACCACACCGCAGCTCCACCTGCATCTGTGGTCAAACACACAGACTGCCTCATATTTACTGGACCCGCAGCACCAGTCCATTTGAAGGTAAGTGGCAGAGATTTTTATTGCAAACTGAGGCCAACATGTTTTTAAGTATGCCTGGTTATGATTTTCTTAGCTAACTCAGAGTTATGAGCTACCATATCTCTGAGAGTTTATTTGGCTGCTGCAGCCCATTCAGACCTCCCTGTATGCTCTGTGTGTGTTCATGCACAGGGTGTTTACATATGTGCAAGTTTGTGTATGCTCTGAAATGTATATCTGTATGTATGTAAGGACCTCCCTCTGTGATGATAATTTGGTGTCTCCAATGGTTGAGAGCCACTCCCTTGAGCCAGATCTGCAAGGGATGCAATGAAAAAAGCCCAAGAGGTATGACCACCATCCGTTTGGCCTAATGCCCCTCTAAAAGTAAGAGGTGAAGCTGAGATAATGAGCACTGAATCAAGGGCAACACAATGAACACGATTCACTGGCTGGAAACTACAATGACCCCATCTGGGTCATATGGGTCAAAAGAGTGCCTATGTCACAGATTGCCTGCTTCCATGTTGCCCCCATGCACCTGCTAAAGAACTGGAGAGCATGTGTGCAGGGCATATCCAGGTATTACATACCTGACCTTCCTTTAAGGAAGACATTATTTTTTTTAGTTCCATTGTATTACAATGACATATTACAATGGATATCTCAGAACCTGTACAGCTAACACCAAAACGGTTTCCATATAAATCTAAGGGGGGCACCTATCTTGTAAATGTAGAAGAGCCACATGAGTGTTGTTTTATGCCATATTCTCTTGTTCTTTGGATCTGACTCGCTTTCTCTTAAGCCCATAGTGCTTCAGTAGGAATGTTAATGTTTCATTCCATTTGGCTGAAATGGTTTCTTTCCTCTCCCTCTGTCTCAGCAGGGGACACAGAAGGGATAGAGAGGCAGCACCGGGCAAGGAGCCACTGGGAGAGGATAAAATATTCTATATCCTGGGTGACTGTGCTCTTCTGGAGGATCACAAAGGGTTTAACTAGTGGATAAAGGAGAGCCAAGTGGTAAGTGACATTTCTGGTTTGGGAATATGGCAGTCAGCAGTATGGAGCCTCGCCAAGTCTCCCATCCTGGCCAGAAAATGCTAAAAAGGCTTGGGAGAGTGTAAACACAAGAGTGGCTAGCAGTACAGGAGGAGAAGGGAGGGATGGGGGGGCGTCCAGGGGGACAGATCTGTTAACCATCAGTGGCTGTTTCATCCTGCCGCCCCTCTCCAGACTCTTCAAGGGAAGCTTTGTGTACCTGCTTCACAGACAGGAGCTGGGAATTTGGTGAACAGGAAACCAAGACCCCCACCACCTCCCTCCCTTCCGTCCCCACACCTCTGCCCATTCTGCTTTCCCTGTGCCCCCAGCTGGCCCCAGGCACACAACTGACATTCACCCCGTTCTGTGCCCTCTTCTAAACTACCCCCTGCTTACTCTGTGCTCTCCAGTCGCTCATACCTCCTCCCTGAATGGGCATTTTGTACAAGATGCCATTTGAAACACAGGTAATGTTGATTAGGGGGAGCTGACTTGTCCTGCTGGGTTGGAAATGCAACTGTGCAGTGGTATGATCTCGCTTTGATATCAAAGGTAATGCTTTGAAGTACACTTCATCCAACTGCAGTCATCACTCAGCTCTGATATTTAAGCTTGCCCTGCATAATCTTGAAATCTCAATCGATAATTCAT